GACCCTTTTTGCCCATGAATTTTACGTCTGGGCGCTGTCCTATAGTTAATAATTCTGGAGGTTGTGGCCTTATTAATATCGAACATATTAGTTAACGACTTATGCGGCAGCCCTTCGGCTGCCAATTTTCGAATGCGCACGAAGTCGGCGTCAGACAGGAAATGCTTTGACATCTGAACACCACGACAGGATACAGAAAAATGAAAGCAAGTCGCGGGTTCCCCTTATATATCAAGCTGACGCTCATAGATATCGGTACGATTAAACAAATTTACCATAAAAATTTAAAAAACTTGCTTTTATGGCGTAAAACTTTGCATATTGCCAAATAATATTTTTAACACTCCAATCTGTCCTTATTTCTGAAACTAAATGCGATTCCTTAAAGTTGGCTTCACTTCCATTTCATCAACTTCGCACAAAATTTCCCAGTTCTGGAAGGGAGTATTATTCCACTTTTGTACTTATTCTGGAATTCTTCCACAGCACAATGCCTATTAGTAAAAACTTTGGTTCTGTCATACCTTTGTTCGATATAAACTTACTCAAGAATTAGCCAAAATTAGTGCCTATTTCGCTCCATAACTTTAATTAAGATGGCAGTTTCCTAAACTAAAGCACTTCTAATTATAAAATCCACTCAGTTGATCAAACTAGTCTGTCCAACTTTATGCCAAACTACCAAGTTAAATTTCGCCATGAAAGTTGTTTGCAGGACTTGCAGGACTGTATATGAAAATTCAAACATGAATAGAGGGAGGAAAACACTTCGGCTCAATTTGAAAAGCTCTCCGTCAAGTGATCCTAAAACGACGACCAATCGATACTCTAATAGTGTTATTGGCCTAGCCAAGGTCAGCTCTGCTCTGTGGATGCTCACTGTGGTTTTCTTCTTCCTCCTACTCCTTTTTGCACAGAAATCCGCAAAATCTGCGTTGACCTTCTGGTTGACACGCTTCGCGTAAACCCCCTGGTTGCGGAGCCCTTCCTCATCCGCGAGATGGACCGTGTGATGCAGTCGGCAGATGACCACTTTGCCGATGAAATGCTCGACCTCCTGACAGCTCATCTGCCTGCCGATCGACGAGGTGCGAAGATGAGCGGTGCAGTTAATGGTGCCTACTCAACCTCATCGCGGATTCGTCGTCATAGTCCGGTGCCACGCCATCCGCCGCCACTGACCCTTAGCGGAGCAAACGCTGACACCAGACGACTGCAAGTCATTGAGTACCTGGTTCAGCAGATCCGCTACCTCCGGGAGTACAGTGACTACATCAATCGTCCCTCGGAAATCGGCGGAATGTTGGCGATAAACAACCTGAGGGTAGGTTTTGCTACTTGTGGTCTACAGTAGGTAATTTAGAAATGGAACAGACAGAAGATAAACCATTTTCGCAAAATCACAGTATGCATTCGACCAGTCTTTTTGCATTCGCAATCATAGAACAGGGCCCAAAGGTAATTATATATGGTGAAAAATACTTTCATATAAAGACAAAAGCGAGTTCATTCTTTTCCAACCAAAAGTGTATTATTTGTTATCAGGTACATTCTAAAAAAACTGATCAAAGTTATCTATTTTCGCTTGGACGTTACCCCGAAAAAAGGTAACATACACAGATATTCGTCAGTTGAACACTTAACTAAGTTCTTTTTAAAAAGGTAATCTATTATAGAAAGTTTTTTAATTAATCTTAGGCATGACGATGTCAGACTTCTGTCGTGGGCGTTCTTTTTGCTCGATAATGAGTCTTCTTGTTTTGCATTGAATGGGAAAACGTCGCCCACATGGCTATCTTCATAAGAACTTATATTCAAAATTGACATTTTTCTTAAGCGTTTTTAAGAAACATCTTATTTTAAAGGTATTTTTTTATCTAAACCTCGAACGGAATCTAGAGCTTTGGAAGAAACTTGAAAACACTGAAAATGGTCGAAAATTTGCCGGAATTTAAAGGACAATTTTAAACTACTTGTAATTTAATACCTGAAATATGTACACAAAAAATTGGCTGAGAAAAAAGTTCTTTTGATATAAGGAAAATAGTTAAATTTATTGGTCTAATTTGTAGCTATTTTTCACGTATGCAGAAATTGATTATTCCTTCGAATTAGAACTTGGACTGGACTACCGGGGTTTAACTTTCAAAATTCACTCAATAGTAGAACCTTACATTGTTTTGGGTACATTATTGGAAGTCGTCGTCCTGAGTCAGGTGTTTTGACGGCGTCCACCCATATGTGCCGAAATAATTCCTTCTCACTGCAGTGTGTCTTAATACATCCGTATTCACTTAAACTTGGTCTCTTATTATATGTTAACTTTTTGTTAAAAAAAATGTACCCTTTCCTTTAAAAGACCTTTTACGAAAGTCTCGCTCGCAAGGACATGACACTGCGCTATCTCTTCCGCCTTGAGAAGCTTCATGAACAGTGCTCCAACGATGTTGAGCGAGGTTACACCTTGGAGCATATCAGCAATCAGTTTAAGGTGCGCTTCCTTCCTTCCTTCCCTCGATTTCGTCGTTTTTTCATTATCCGCTTTTCAGTTTATTTTTCACCCAGCTGGTCGTAGTAGACTTCAGCCTGACTAAATAACAATCAAATCAAAAGGGCGCTTTGCGAACTACCTTGTCTTCCTTTTGAAGTTGACCCCTGTCAGTTTCCGATATTGCTTTATTGTCGTCCATGTGCGTCTGTGCCTCGGCCAGAGACAGAAGCAAGGGAAGTCTGTATAGTGACCAAAGGCCTATTTGCTGCCGTCAGCAAGTGGTACCCCACCCCACCCCAGACGAAACGGACCTGAGACGGACCCAACCTCAGCTAGTCCTAGACTACGCATCTGTATGCAATTGCGTAGGTTTCCAAACAAGACAAACCGGAAAAAGGGGGTTATTTCGCGCGGTTTATGAGACATACGTAGAGATGATACCTGGTGTCAGATCAGATTCTTCGTCTCCTCCGTCGCTTCTGTCTGCTTGATGGCAGATTCCACTGCTGCGATCACGTTAACAGGTTTGGTACCGCCTGTGTTGATTAAGGCTTCGTACCATTAAACCTGTATTTGCTCCGCCAGGTCTTTTAGGATAGCTCGTGCGCCAGCATGTCATTTCTGGGTGAAATTTGGAGTAAACAACTTCTGGAATTTGTGCTGCGTCGCGTATCACTTTCTGCTTGCAAGCTTTCTCAGTCAACCTCTGCTGAAGCAGTTTTGTACCGTTTTCGCCCATGCGCTCACAGCATCTCTTGGCCAGTTTTCTGACGGTGTTTACGCAGCGTCGTGTGGCCATCCTGAAGGCGCAGACGGATCATTCGTCTTCCGTGTTGAAATACTTCACATCTAACCAGCTGCCTGTTTATCAGGAAGTTGTATGAAACACAGCTCGGCAATACGTTATTGTGGTGCTGTCTCTGATGAGAGGTTCGAACTGAAACCCGAAACCTCGGGAGAGCAAAGTTTTCGTGTCTACTTCTTCAGGAAACGGAGTGCTCATGTAGCATTCCGCAATCAGGCCATGTCGTTCACCAACTCTCCCTCTGGTCTGTGCTTTTTCTCGATTGCCGTTGACAGGGTTTGAGTTCGTAGCTCAACGGGTGCAGTGCCTCACTAGATAACCAAATGAACTCGGCTCAAACTCCGGTCCTTTTCGGTCTGGGTTGGAACTAAATCTGGCTAACCGTAGTGAAAACCAAACGGTGATTGACCATTTTTTTCGTTTCCCCGCTTTATAAGTACACCTATTGCAATACTCGGTAAAGGTTACTTGCATGGCCCTCTAAACCGGACACGGGAATAGGAACGTCCCGCCCAAGTAATTAAGGTGACCCTGCGCCCAATTCTGAGAGCGGCCCCCATTTCCCGTGTCGTAACCCTAACATAGACCCAATCTGTAGGTCTAATCTTAACTCGCACCTTAACCCTAAAGCAAACCGTTATCCAAACCTTAAATCTAACTCTGTCCCTACACTTAGCCCTAACCCTGGCATAACCCTAAGTTCTCAGGAATTTGGCGCAAATCCGTGTGTATTTCGGGCGGTTCCTGTACTCAATTGTTGTTAAGGGTGCCATTTAAGTCATCTTTACTCGATAATACTAGGGGCAAGATCGGAGCAAGTAACCACTGGTTCGTAATCAGCTCTATTCATTGCCCGTGCATTACTGTTCGTCGATTGCCATACTTATAGAGCTCTATCACCCTCTAATAAAATTGAAGAGTGCCAGGAGTTGAACTTCAGTCGAAGATGCATTCCTCCTATCCCCCTGCAGTACTAATCTGTTGTGTTCTGGTCTTTTCCTCCCTACTTAACCTTGCAACACATCCCAGGGTTTTTAATTTGTGCCGTAATGTCGTTAGCACGTAAGTTCGCCATGTTCTACGTCCCCGAGGAGCTGTGAGGGTGCAATTTACACGGAGTCCTTAAAAGCGAATGGATCCAAATAGGTACGCTGGTGCTGTGTGTATGCGTTGAGCTATCAAAACAGTCCTTCAGAGGAAGAAGATGCGATCGCTGAAAAAAGAATTTCATTTTTCTGACGTTTCGGATTCTGTTGAGAATTCCTAATCAAGGTAACCGTAAAATGGTGTGAGACATGCACAGATTGCGTGG